CCAGTCAAGTCTTCTCACCCTGTAGCCTGAAATGAATCCTTGAAGAGATGCCCGTATAGTAACCGCTTAGCTACCCTCCTGTAACCTTCGTTTTTCTGAGGAGCATCAGATGCGTGAGGGACAAGAGGGACAATGCTGGTTTGCTCTCAAGGTTTGCATGCCCTTAAAGGAAGCCAAAAGGCTGGAACCCACCCGCGTCGACCATCGACCGTACATCGCCTCAGAGGGTGCAGCGTAGGCAAATCCGGCCAATGCGGCAGCGCCGCGATGTAAGCGCCGAAGGGTGAGGTGTTGCCTGCTTATAATGCAAGCAAACCACTCTCAGTAAAATAAGGCCGAACAGGTCCTGAAACAAAGAAAGCACAAATAGCGGAACAGCAGTTAAGCCTGTGAACCACGGACTGAACTGCCTGAACTCCCGCAACACGCTGTTCTGCCTGAGATTTCTTGACAAGGTTATCAAATCAGGCGAGGTCCGTCCCGCTCACCTTCCCTTGGTGCAAGATGGCCCTCCTCACCGGAAAAATCGGACCCATGGCAAAACAAATCACGCTAAAACCCATCTTCACCAGCCCCACTCACTGCCATTATGTAGCCATATGGGGAGTCCCCCCATTCTGCCTGAAATGTGCTCCGAATCTGGCCTACACCTGCCAGGGCATAGCCTGTTTCTGAACATTAACCACCTGTTTGGTAGAGTAGCAAGGAAACCATCGAGGTTAAGCTGAAATTGCAAACTTGGGTCCCTTTGACCCATGGACAATTGCGCTCGCTACGCCGCTGCCCGCCTTCTGCGCGTGCCCGGAGTAGTGACAGCGCCAAGTTGGCGACCGCCCACCGGCCCTCCTGGCGAAACTCTGAGGAGGGTGAGCTGGGCTGGGAGCACTGAGTACAAGTAAACCATACAAATGCTTAAGCCATGTTTTTATGGACACAAATTACCAAGTGAAACACTAAAGACTAAAGACACAAACAACTTGAAAAAGCGCCTATTTAATCACCCAAGGAGCACACTCAAGCCTAGGCAGAATACGGGCAAGCCAAACAACCGCTTTAGACCAAGGTGTTAAAGCACTTTTTGGACAAGAAGGGGCTTCTCCACTTGAGTGAAATCAACACACCCAGAAATCACTATGATACCAACATGTTCAACCCGAAGTCAAATAATGCGAGGTTGACGCATACAAGCAATGAGGGGATTCCCTATTCATACGTACATATTGTAAATATACATGTTTTTGACATAATGCCACCTAAAGACAACTCAAACACAAGGACTTAAAGTTGGCGATGATCTGAGCAGCCCACAAGGGACACAGAAGAACGCCATGACATTCAAACATTTGGCTAAGCTTCACCGACCTTCATGATGAGTGAGATTGCAAACGGAAACGCTTGCTTGCTACCATTTGACCAGAGTTGTCCTTCCTGGTTGTTGAAACAGCACTTTTTCAGAGGTCCGAACAAGCTAGACATTTTTATCGACAACGGCAACCCCTTTTTGGCAGTGGATTCAGGGAAACCGCTTCAAACGAAACACAAAACTATGGAAACGCTTGGGGCCTTGGGGCCTCTCCTCGCTGCCCAGCACGTCGTACCACTGGCCGTGGCCCCGGCGCGCTGCCGCCAGCAGCGCCGGCGCCGCGTGTGGCGCGGCCTCGAGAGGCGCCTCCAGGACCAGGCGCCGCGGCACCTGGCGAGCCATTTCTGGCGGTCCGCCTCGGTTGCGCCTCTTTGGTGTAGGTGTTCAGTGAAAAACGTATTTGTTGGTTTGTTTGTGGAGGGGGTTGTGGGCATGGTTTGCCTGGTGTCCTATTGTTCTTCTTTCCTTTCTTTTTTTGGGGATGGGGAGGAGGCTGTTCGCATTGCACTCCCTTGAAACACTTTACGTTGGCGCCATGGTCTAGGCTCCCACCCACATTGTCATGGAACCCAACTATGGATGCTGCCTATAAAAACACGATGTACGGTTTCCAGCAACTAAGCAAACAAACACTTGAACAAATCACCTGGTGTTTTGATGCCTCCATGGAGCCGACCCAAACGTAACGAGCCGACCCAAACGTAACATGAGCTTTAAAATGCACACTGCGCAACTCAAGACTCCACCCTTCACAAACTCAGTTGTGGGACCATACGGCCCTCCTTGATACACATCATTGCCTGCTTTGCCACCTTTCGCACACCCAAACAACGTCACAAATGATTCCTGCGGCAACCGGACGGAAAGCAACCTCCAAGAACAATGGAGAAAAGAGGTGCCCCTTCAGCAAAACCTGCGTAGCAAGCAGGCAAGCAGGCAAGCAGCGCAAAGCAAAGCAAAGCAAAGCAAAGCAAAGCAAGGCAAAGCAAAGCAAAGCCAAGCCAGCAAGCAAGGCAAGCAGGCAAGCAGGCAAGCAGGCAAGCAGGCAAGCAGGCAGGAGGTAGGCAAGCAAGCAAACAAACAAACAAACACACCAACAAACAAACAAACAAACAACCAAACAAACAAACCGACCGAACAAACAAACAAACAAGCAAGCAAGCAAACACAGAAACAAAGACACAAACACTCAAAAACAAACAGACAGACAAACAGACAAACCAACCAACCAACCAACCAACCAACCAACCAACCAACCAACCAACCAACCAACCAACAAACAACAAACAAACAACACCAAATATACAACACCAAACATACAACATAAACACAAAGACCAATAGCATCGCATCACTCAAACCGGAGATCCACAAACCAAACACGGAGACCGGCACTCCCATGGCCTCTCGCCTCGGCCACCACCTCGCCCTTGGCGAAGCGCCGGCCTGCGCGCACCTCCAGGCCCGAGCCGACGCTCAGCGACAGGCGGAGGGCCTCGGCGCGTCTCTAAGCGCGTGCGCTTGAAGCCAAGGGAAACCGATGCCCTTCGCATGGTTTGTTCAGGCTCTGTTTGGGGTGGTCAAGTTTTTCGGTGGGTTGGTTTAGAGGAAAACCTAAACGGACCCTTTCCAGGGGGGAATCAAAAGACAAGGGACTCCAACGGAAAACCAATTGTGTCACTAGCAAGGGGAACCAATCGTTCCGAGTTTGAGGGATTTGAGCTTTGTGAGAGGGAAGCCCAAAAAAATAAGGTTGGTTGGAAAGGAAACCTGTTCCAAGAAACCAACGGCAGTGTCTCTGTTCTGTGGAGAGCCCACCACAATTTGGCCAACCTATGTTGTTCTAGGATTCGCAGTTGGATCCTGCCCCTCGCACAACGAACCTTCTGAATGGTGAACGTGTCATGCTGGTTTCAATTCAAACGGGACTGCTGTGTCACGGTCCAACTCCCTGGGGACACTGCCACCGCCTGCAACACGTCGACCGGTTTCTAACTAGTGAAGCAAAAACCTTGAAGGCAATTGTGTCGGGCGGCGATGAGCAAATAGGGAGGCGATTCAGACAAATTAACCCAAGAACAGTTCCACCCTGAAAAAACAGGGAGAGGAAATACAGAAACGTTTGGCACCACATGGTACTACACAATGCTGCACGGTCTGGGCGAGCACATCGCAATACTAAGGCGCAGTATTAAACTCATCCTGAACCAATACTACAGCCATACTAAAGCAATGTATTCTAAAAAAAACAACTAAACCATGCTAAGCAGTACTTGGTGAGAGACTCCTTGAGTAGGCCCAACTCTGACCCGCAATTTTGTTATGGGCTTTTGCTGTTGACAAACTGGGCAAGTGTATTGTATATATATATATATCTTTAACTTTTTGTACAGTGACGGATAACGGTGGCAGTGCATGGGTGTTGGGCATGTGTCAGAAAATGCTTGGCATTGCTAAGTCTGTTTGAGGGGTGGGATGTTCGTTAACATGAGTTTAGGTACCTTCTTGCGCAGCACTTCAGAGAACAAATGTGCGGATCAGCCAAACTCGCTTCTTCACCCTTGGCTAACATGATCTTGTTGTCTCATGCTGCAACATTCACAGGGTGTCGCACATCGCGACATCTCGCACCTTCCCTTCCATGGGCGCGATCCGTCAAAGCCGCCCTTCCCGCGCTTTCCACCAGGGGGCCGGATCCAGGAAGGCTCCTTTGCTGAGGAGGAACTGCCTGCCAAATGGCAAAACACGGCCCAAAGATTTGGGAGAAAGTGCTGAAGCAGCCAATGGACCCAAGCTGGGAGCAGCCGCCATCCCCGAACTATCGGAAGTCGAAAGGCACCTCTTCACTTTCTTGAAGCTAAGCATTCATCTTTAGGAGTAAAATTACCAACAAACCTTCGGCAGTTGCGATCTATCTTCGGGCAATGACTGCGGCATGCGTGCTGTTGACAGCTTTGGTAGGCGAAATTCGCATGCCCAAGCCTGGATTGGTAATGGACCCACGCCTGATGAAACCTGAGCCAAGCAGGGCTAGATTGTGCAGAATCCTCTTTACGTGGGAGGGGAAGTGGTGGGTCCTGCAGTTCAATGACTCGAGTCTTCACCCCAATAGAACTATTGAAGCAGAAATGGAACTGGTTGAGAAGTATCTCAGGCTCAGTCAGAGCTCGAATTGAACATACATCATTAAAACAAAACTCAAAATCGATATGAAAAGATCATTTTTAGAGAGAGAAACAATTTCTCTCCCACAGGCAAATAATTTGGCTTGGTGCACTCCCGGCCTCTTGGAAGAATACATTCCTCTTGGCACCAAAGGGTCAAGGTTGAAGGTCCAGCCAAAACGCATCAACGGAGCTACCTGTGGATGGACAAAATCCCCTTCGCACCGTCTCCCCCCAAAAAAATGGGTGAGAAAGCAGCTACCAAACCGATCCTGGCGTGGATTTTGCCCACGGCGTTTCACCTGTTTCCCGCCCGCCTCAATGCCTCCGCTTCTCGTAGACGGGCCATGGGAAGCGGCAAGGCACTCGAAGCCAGCGCGAAAGCCACGTAGGCTGATTTGGGTAGGTCTGGGGTGGAAATCTGTAATCAAGCTACTCCAGGATTCTGGCACCTCCCGAATGTTCATATTTTCCCTTGTGACACATGGGATCCGGGAAGCAACCTTGATCATGGATGAGACAATGCTCCCCCGACGTGAGGAGGGCACCGCAAACATCCGCAAACTCCCCAAATAACGTTGCCGCTCTCAAAGTCTCAGCATGTCAGGCTGAATGAGCAACACAATAACTAAGCGACTGGCCGGATGTTGCAGCATTCCGAATTCCGACCAGCTTCCGCACACATGCTAGGGCCTGCCCAAGTGGGCAGCAGCTGTCAGCACGCTGAAAGCCATCAGCTCAAGCAGCCTGAGACTCCTCTGGGACTAGACTTGACTCAGACCCCCTGCGACCAATTCACTGCGGAGCCTTCCTGAAGCCCGCCAACATACGATCCCTTCACAAATTTTCTGCCGCCACCGCGACACCCCGCACCACCTCCAATTGCCACTTTGGGCTTCACAATGTCCCAAGTCCCAGGAATACTCTTCCTTTTGGCTGGCTCCTAAAGCGAACCCAACCATGTGCAGGCTTTTCGGCTCCCGTTTCACCAACAAATGCCCACCCCCTCCACCCGACTGGCCCGCGCGTTCCAGCGCTTGTGCGCTGGATGCCGGGCGAGAGGCTACAGGGCGTCCCGCTGCTCCACGCACAGGCTCTCCAACAAGGCCTGGCCGCGAGTTGGAGGCCTCTAGGCGAAACTTGGCCATGGGTCAAAACCCAAACCGTACCCCCAGTGAACATCCCAATCCTCACTAAAATAGACTAAAATGGGTGGTGCACCTACCCCAAAATGGTGCCGTTGGTTTTGACCCACAGCCATTTGGCGAAGAATCACCTTCTTCCCAATGGAAGCGGACGGGACGGTTTTGGATTAATTACCATCTTCTCTCCACGGGTTGTGTCAGGGGATGCTTCGAATACGGCGATCCGAATGCTTTCCAACATGGCTACGGAGCTTTGCATAATGGGCACTTGTCACAATTCACCCACTCAAGCGCCTGCGATTGAAATGGCCCCCTCTTGCTACTAAAGTTACTAAAGCACGTTTCCCGACTTGAAAGGGGGCATCGCAATCCTCTTGCAATCCTGCAGGGGGAAGGTGCGGAAGCAACAGGGATAGCTGCGCAGAAACGTTGCACGACAAAAAATCGCAAACCTTACTCCCAAGGTTTCTGGAACGGTCTGGTTGCCATCCTGACCTTCTCGCTTTTGCAGAATGCGACCTGTAACAAGGACCTTCAAGAGGATTACACGGATAGGGGGGTTAGAGCAGGCAGCTGAAAGGGCCATTGGCATGAGTCAAGGTAATCCGAGGGAATTGTCTTATCGCACCCTGAGAAAGATTCAGGTGCCCAAAGAGCCGTTCCTTTAAATGCTATGAGGGATATTCAGCATCCATGTGAGCGGCTTGCGGGGAAGCACCTGAAGCTCCTATGGCGCCCATTCTTGCGTTCTCGCAACAGGCGCAATGCCCGGCTCCAAACGAGCTCAGGCCGGATATCACCGGACAGGGCTCAGTCAGCTCAGGGCTGGCAAGGCCACCCACTGGAGTCAAAAGAAGTCGATGGGCAAAAAAGCCCGGCGTTTGCGATGGACTTGGTCAATGCTAAACCCGAAACTGGGGCTTGAATATCTTGCTACCATCACCTTCGTGAAGCGCAAAGACAGACCCGTTGCTAAGCATTGGCACTGCCTTGTAGGGCTGAAACAACTTCCCGCCAGTCGAAACCAGCCAGTGGCAAGTGCCCCAACTGTCGAGGATCACTAGCCCAATGGAGGCAACAAGGTCATAAGGTGACCACGCTTTGGATGAGCCCGACGCTTGGCTCACTTTGGGCATCTTTTTGTGTGACTAACACAAACTTGGAGCAAACAACAGGAGACTGGAAAAGCAAACGGAAACAACAAACATGCATGACCTTGGTTAATGCCTGGGGTGCGCAAACGAGTGCGTCCCTAAGTCCCTAATCACATAGTGTTCAACCAACAATGGAAAACCGTCTCTGATTCTGTCGCGGAGGTTTATGAATATGAAGCAGAACTGTCATTTCAATTACCCTGAACCTGGTTGCTATGTGTTTGGTTTCCATGTCTGCATCAGCCGAAGGTTTTTCTTTACATGAGACGCTTTAGCAGGAGGCTGGAAAAGCAAACGGAAACACCAAACATGCATGACCTTGGTTAATTCCTGGGGTGCGCAAACGAGTGCGTCCCTAATCACATAGTGTTCAACCAACAATGGAAAACCATCTCTGATTCTGTCGCGGAGGTTTATGAATATGAAGCAGAACTGTCATTTCAATTACCCTGAACCTGGTTGCTGTGTGTTTGGCTTCCATGTCTGCATCAGCCGAAGGTTTTTCTTTACATGAGACGCTTTAGCAGAAACGAGGGCAAGCAATGAGCCGTGCACTTTCATTCAGCCCGCCACAGGGCCCTCGCGGCAATGTAGGCCCTGCCAGCGGAAAAGTGGGAACAGTGTGCATTGGTACCGAGGCAAAGTCGTCTACTGGCATTGGGTGGCCTTCTGCGGCAAAAGTCCAACCAAAGAGCCGCCAATGCTTCAAAGACCACTGTTGAAAACCCTTGAAGAAATGCGGGTCCAGCCACCAAAGAAACAAATCGATATGGAAGAGCGGCCCATACATCACCCTGCTGCTGGTGGATACCAATTGGGAAACTCTGGGTCGGTCTTTGTCCTCTGTGAAATTGAAGCTGTTTGCCAGTTCCAGGGCTAGTCTAACTGTCCCTCTCACTGTCCCGCAGTTAAACGGCTATTTTGGTGAAACCAACTGACCATTCGGCATGTCATGTGCGGAGTTTCCAGTGGCACACGTCAATCAGCAAAACAGACAAACAATCAAGCAAGCAAACAAACAAACAGCCCCACACTACTGACACAACAAGCACAGACACAAACAAGCAAGCAAGCCAGCAAACAAAAACAGCAACCACACCCAATCAAAACACAATCGAGCAGGCAAAACAAGCAACGCCAGCAAAACACAACAAACGGCGCAAACACGCAACGGCACAACAAGCAAGACAAGCAAAACAAACAACACCAACAAGACAACGAACAGCCAAATCAGCAAACAAAACGACAAAGCAAGCAAGCCAGCCAGCCAGCCAGCAAGCTAAGCAAGCAAGACAACCCACACACACACACACACAAGCAATCAAACCAACAAACAAGCAAACAAGAAAACAAGCAGGAAGCAAACAAACAAATATAAAGAAGCAAGCAAACAAGCAAACAGTCAACAAAACAAACAGTGACAACCTAAAGACACACGCAAGCAAAGACAGGGAACGAAGCAGGCAAGCAAGGTAGAAAGCCACCAGTTCAATGAATCGAAACAATCCAGTCAATCAATCAACCAATCAACCAATCAATCAACCAATCAATCAAACGATTCATCAATCAATCAACCAACCAACCAACCAACCAATCAATCAATCAATTAGTCAGTCAATTAAATAATTAAACAATTTAATCAATCAATTAATTAATCAATTAATAAAGCAATGCACTAACCAATTAATTAATTAAATCAAATCAATTCAAGTCGAGTCAAATCAAATCACTCAATCAATCAAACAAATAAATAAATAAATAAATAAATAAAAAATAAAATAAAAAATAACACACAAATGAAGAAATAAAGAAAGAAACAAGCAATCAAACAATCCATCCATCCAATCCGATCCGATCCGCTCCGATCCAATCCAATCCCAACCCAATCCAATCATCCATCAATCAATCAAATCAATAAATCAAATTCAATCAAGTCACATCAAATCAGTTCAATCAATTAATCAGTCAATCAATCAATCAAATAAATCAATCCAATAAGAACATAAAATAAATATAGCAATCTAGGCCAAACCAAACCAATCTAACCGTTCAAATCAGTCAAATAAGCCAACTCAAATCAAGCAAATCAATCAGATTCCTCAAATTTACCGAATCAACTAAATCAATTCAATTTAAGTCAAATCAAATCCAACAGCAAACAGGCAAGCAATCAAACGAAGCAGGCCAGCCAGCAAACATATGCAAACATACAGCCGCTATTCGCCTCTTGCAAATGCTCGAGGGTCAGGGCGCGCAGGGACGCCAGTAACGGCTTCGGACCTGCCAGAAATCGTCGGCTTCGGTTTTCGAATGGTTACGGAGTTTAACACTTGGGACACAAACGAAAGGCAAGCCCTTTGATCCTCCCAAAAATTACCAAACGTCACCAAGATGCCTTTGCATTCAATCAACATCCTTCCTTGTCAGTGTAAAGGGCAGTTTTTTCTATAACCTCGTATCCAGACTTCCAACTTTCAAGCCCAATTCCGTTTTCGATCGGGATGGCCACAGGCAAATCCGTACATATTCCTGAGGCACCCAACGTGCCCTTTTTTTGGGGTACGAGAAAAATGCTCGAAGTCACGATTTCTGCTCGACCCCCCAAAAAAAACACTCGCCCCCCCCCCCAAAAAAAAAAAAAACAAAACGCTCGACCAAATCCCCTTCTTCCATCCAAAGGAAGGCGGGCATTGTTACCATTAAAACAAAAATGCACTCGTTTGCGGATATTTGCGCTCGTTTTGCACTTCGATTTCTGCTCGAGCCTTTTAAACAGGACCGACCAGCCTGGTTTTGGGGAAACGCTCGAAGCAGGAAAAAGTGTGCGTTTACCATGCTTTGGTGACGACCCCTGGTTTTGCAATACGTTTGGGCCAAGGGCAGAAATTCAGGTAGCGAAGGGTGCTCCAGGTTCTACTTGGAAATTGCACTGCCCTCCCAAATGTCTGCGTCAAAGAGACCCGGAACTGGGGTCGTCGAATGGGCCGACAGGGCAACTGGATCAACTATCAGGAGCACGGAGTATTTTGCTGTTCGACAAATTCCGTCGGCCTTGCGTCTGCGGTGTCCGCCCAAAGGTTCGCGTTTGTGGATCGTGGTCGCAGCCCCCCATAAAACGGACAAACCAAACATCATCCCACGCTGAGAGCAGTGAATTGAGTTCAGACTAAAGGAA